TTGGAAAGGGTTACAAAGGGGTTACAAAGGGCTTGGAAAGGGTTGCAAAGGGGTTACAAAGGGTTTGGAAAGGGTTACAAAGGGGTTACAAAGGGCTTGGAAAGGGTTACAAAGGGGTTACAAAGGGTTTGGAAAGGGTTACAAAGGGTTTGGAAAGGGTTACAAAGGGGTTACAAAGGGCTTGGAAAGGGTTACAAAGGGGTTACAAAGGGTTTGGAAAGTGAAAAAAAGGGTTTGCAAAGGGATTGCAAAGGATGGCACAGGGGTTACAAAGGGGTTACAAGGGGGCTACAAAGGGATTGCAAAGGGTTTGAAAGGGATAGCAAAGGGGTTACAAAGGGGTCAAAAAGGGGTTACAAAGGGTTTGGAAAGGGTTTGGAAAGGGTTGTCAAAGGGGTTACAAAGGGTTAGCAAGGGTTTACAAAGGGTTTACAAAGGGTTTACAAAGGGTTTGCAAAGTGAAAAAGAAAGGGTCTGCAAAGGGTTTGTGAGGGGTTTAAAAAGGGTTTGCAAAGGGATTGCAAAGGGTTTGAAAAGGGTCGTTAAAGGGGTTGCAAAGGGGTTGCAAAGGGGTTACAAGGGAGTTACAAAGGTTTGAAAGGGGTTACAAAGGGTTTGCAAAGGGGTTACAAGGGAGTTACAAAGGTTTGAAAGGGGTTGCAAAGGGGTTGCAAAGGGGTTGCAAAGGGGTTACAAGGGAGTTACAAAGGTTTGAAAGGGGTTGCAAAGGGGTGGCAAAGGGGTTACAAGGGGTTTGCGCCACTCATTTAAGTTTTGGGATTTCCCGTTCTCACATGGATACTCCCCGCCACTGGATGATCCCCAGGAATCCCGGAGCACCCGAAATTCCGGGAATGGCCATTCCCATCCTCACCTGGGTACTTCCCGCCGCGGCTCCTCTTGATGAAGCAGACGATGAGGAGGATGAGCACCAGGAGGGCGATGGCGCACATGAGGCCGATGAACCAGCCCTGCGTGGCGATGTCCACCTGGTTCTTGGTGTAGGCTGCGGAAAAACGGGAAAATATTCCTCAGGAATGGAGCCAGCCATGCAGGGAACGGAGGGAGAGGAATTCAGGGCGCTGCTTCGGGAATTTTCTTTGGTTTGGGTGTGTCGGGTGTGTGGTTGAGGTTGTAGCGCAGGGATTTGTGGGTTTTGAAAATGTTTTCTTGGTGTTCTTTTGGTGTTATACTGGTGGGTTTTGGGGTGGGTTTTTTTGGTGTTTTCTTGGTTGTTTTTTGGTGGTTTATTGTTGGGTTTTGGGTGTTTTTTGTGGGTGTTTTGGTGTTTCCTTGCTGCTTTATTGGTGATTTTTGGGTGCTTCATTGGTGGTTTTTGGGTGGTTTTTTTGTGGTTTTTTTGGTGTTTTCTTGGTGCTTTATTGGTGATTTTTCAGTGGTTTTTTGTGGTGTTTTCTTGGTGTTTCTTTGGGTTTTTTTGATGTTTTTTCACAGTGTTTGGGTTTGTTTTGGTGTTTTATTGGTGTTTTTGATAGGTTTTTTTGGGTGTTTTTTGGTGGGCTTTTGGTGAGGACTTGATATTTTTTTGATGGGTGTTTTGGTGCTTCTTCCATGTTTTGTTTTTTTTTTTCCCCTTTTATGGTGGAAAATAAAATCAGTTTTATCAGGAATAACAAATAGCGAAGTGGCCCAACAGAAAGGAAAATCTGGGAGAAGGGAATTGCAAAAAAAATGCGATGGAAGCTCGGGAATGAATTTGATGGAATTAGCTGCATCTGAAAACTGCCCTGGGTGCAGGAAGATCCAAGAGGAACATTCCCAAGTCCTGCTGCCCAGGGAATTTGGGAAGCACAGCTGGATCAGGGAATTGCTGAGTTCTGAGGGTTCATGGGAAGCCTTGAACTGGGATGAACTGGGATGAACTGGGATGAACTGGGATGAACTGGAGCAAAGAGGGGTCTGATATCTCCGAGGGTTTTCTCCTGGAGCAAATTCCTGCTTCCAGCGCCTTCCCAAGGCTCCTTCCTGTTTGTAGGATTAATTCCAAGCCTGTTCCCATCCTCCAGCTCCCGTGTCCTCCCTGCCATTCCCCGGCTCCCGGCTCGCAGCTCTCCCACACGGTCAGACAGACAAATCCATGGGCTAAAAATAGCTCCAAGGATGCCTTTTCCAGCCTCTCCTTGGAATTCAGCGAGGCAGAGGAGAAAATAACCTTCAGCAGGGCGGAGGGGGTGGGTTTATCCAAACTGAGGGAAAACCGAGGCGTTCCCGGTGGGAATGTGGGAGAACCAGAGTGACTGGGATGGGGTTGGGAATGGACATGGGCAGGAGATCCTGAAAATCCCAAAGATCCTGAAAATCTGGTGAGAAAAAGGAGGGATAAAGGAAGCAGGGAGCAGCCCTCCCTTCCTTTGTCCGAGGAAAAAGAATCTTGGAAAAGAGGCAGCGAAGGGAAAAATGGATTGGCAAAAATTCCTAACCCACAAAATTCCAGGGACCAAACTGTGCTTATTCCATTGGAATTGTGGCCAAGAGAAGAAGTGATTTCCTCAGCATGAAATCCAGGGAATTGCAAGTGAACCATGAAAGGAAATTTGGATTAAAGAGGAGAATGACACGGAGGAGAATCTCTGGTGATGCTGAACCCGGAATGTTTTGTGGATTTTGGGCAGCACCGAGAGGGGAAGGAGCTCCCAAATCCCACATTTCCATGATCCCAGCCTGAGGGGATCCTCGAGGATGCGCTTTTAGATGGAGAGAATGAGATGACAACAAAGAAATGGATTCATTTATCCGAGTGCTGAGGAAGGGAAGGGGAAGGAAGCTTTGCTGGAAATCTTGGAGATGGAAAAATTCCATGAACAGCGATGGGATGGGATTTTTCCAGGGAGAAACAAGGAGGTTTTCAAAATATGAAGTTCCAGAGAAGCCTGAGAGGCGGGGTGGGGGTTGGAGCTGGGTTTGGGAAGGAGGGACAATTTTAGACCCCAAGTCCCCAGGAGATCTCACAGAAGGGTGAGGAATTTTTCCTTTACCTGTGAGTACGGGGAAAATTCCCATCCTTCCCCAAAAAAGAGGGATAAATCCACCCTTCCCAAGAAAAAAAGGGGGATAAATCCACCCTTCCCAAAAAAGCAACACTTGAGGACTAAATCAAAGTCCCTGCAAGGGTGAATTTGGAGTAAATGAGTGACTGTGGCTGTCCTGGGGGATTTTGTGATTTGCTTTAAGGTGAGGCCAACCTTAAGGGAAAACGAGAAAGCAGCTGCAGGATCTGACGGGTCCTGATTGGAATTGCAGCTGCAGAGCCTTTTTTAAAAATAATTAATGATAATTTCACTGCAGAATATTCGTTAACTCAGAGTCATCATTGACGTGCCAGGAGCAGAGCTCAGCTCCACCGAGTTTTCTCCTTGGATTGCAAAAGAGATCTTTGGGTGTGAAAAGTCCCCTCTGGCTCCAGTCCTGTGTGATTCTATTCCCGGAATCCTGGGATCACTGAAGCTGGAAAATCTCTCCAGGATCGAGTCTGGGATCGAGCTGTGCCCCACCCTGAGCTCTCAGTGCCACCTCCAGGTGCCACCTCCAGGGATGGGCACTCCAAACCCCCCTGGCAGCCCCTTCCAGCCCTTCCCATGAGGAAATTCCTGCTGGAGTCCAACCCGAGCCTCCCCAGCACAGCCTGAGGCCGTTCCCTCTCCTCCTGTCCCTGTTCCCTGGGATGAGATCCCAAATCCCCCCGGCTGTGCCAGAAATTCCCCCTGAGCCTCCTTTGCTCCAGGCTGAGCCCCTGCCCAGCTCCCTCAGGACTCTCCAAACCCTTCCCAGCTCCTTCAGGGCTCTCCAAACCCTTCCCAGCTCCCTCAGGACTCTCCAAACCCTTCCCAGCTCCCTCAGGATTCTCCAAATATTTTCCCAGTTCCTCAGGATCTCCCAAACCCTCCCCAGCTCCCTCGGGACTCTCCATTCCCTTCCCAGCTCCCTCAGGACTCTCCAGACCCTTTCCATCTCCCTCAGGATTCTCCAAACCCTTCCCCATCTTCATTTCCTTCCCTGGACACTCTTCCCAGTGTTTGGACAAGTTGAAAAACCCATTTATGTGGTTTGTTTTTTTTTTAATTTAGCAGCCCTCCTCTTCTGCTCTGCTATTTTTGTCATTTCCAAGTGCCCTTTGCTCCTGGGAGGAATTTTTTTTGGCTTAATGAGCTGCCAGTTAATCAGGAATGAAATCAGAACTCGGCCTCCTGCGGGGGAATATTTCTTATTTATCTGCCCCCAGCCTGAAGAAACCTTTAGAACAGCTATTTACCATATATGGAAAAAAAACCCCAAAACCCCTAAACCTGCTTGGTTCCTTTTAATCCAAAGCATTCCCGATGCCATAGGATTGTCAGTGGGGGTCTGGCTCTTGTGTCAGCAGCATCCAGCCAGGAGAGAAATGGATGTGGAGCGTTTATTCCTGCAGGGAAGGCGACAGCTCCGTGCATCCCACAGGGCTCAGGTCAGCACCAGCCTCAATCCCAGGGATAAAGGTGGCTCCATCCCTCATTCTCCATGAAAATATCAGTAGGAACCTCTCAATTATGGAAAATATATGCAGAGTCTTCCCAGCAGGAATTGGCCAAGGATATTGTGCTTTTTTTGGCTGTTTTTTTTTTAATTTTTGGCCCCTTGCTGTTGCCTCCATCACCCCACAGATCCCAAAGTGGGGGGAAAATCAGGGGAGGAAGGAAAAGAGGCGGGTCCGGGTTGGGAATGGTTTTCCAGAGGGATAAAATGGTTATTCAGAGGGATAAAGCCGTTATCCATTGGGATAACTCCCATGGGAGGGCAGGAGCTGACGGAAATTTCAGACTCACGGAAAGATTTGGGAAGAGAAACAAAATTGGGGATTTAACTCATAACTGGAGCTGTGCTGGGAGGGATCTGGGTCCAAAATCAGCTCAGATGGGACCGGAATATTCCAGGGGCTGCTGTGCCATGGATCCGCTCAGTCCCGGAGCAGTTCGGGGACCGAGGCGAGGGCAGCCCTAGCTGGGGATTTGTCAGTGTTGAGCAGGGCTGGACACTCCAGAACCACCTGGATGTGGCACCTGGGGACATGGTGGCCTTGGCAGTGCCAGGAAATGGTGGGACTCGATGATGGCAGAGGCTTTTCCAACCTTAATTCCATGGAACACCAGCAGCCGCCATCTATCCCTGCCAGGGAATTACCAGGTGATATTCCAGATTTTCTGATAATTTTTTTGGGGTGTGGGGAGCTCTGCTCCCCAGTTCCCACAGCTCTCTCTTGCTGGGAATACCATTTTCCTTTTGCCATTCCCAGCATGGCCTGGAAATTGCTAGAGCTTCCCATCCCACAGCTGGAGCTGAGCAAAACCATTTTAATTCCTTGGAAATTCCCACCTCTATCTACAACACGGTCAGGGAGGCTGCTCCAGTATTTTCTGCTCTGTGGAATTCCAGCAGAGTGGAATTGACAGGAGCTGTGCACGGATCCCTTTGGAAAAGCCCCCGGTGGATCTGAAGGGATTTAAGGCTGTTTGGATTTACTGGGAATCGTCGGGAGGGAACGGCGGAGTTTTACAAATTTATAAATCTCCTGTGGGACAAAGGAGGGAGCGTCTGGAGCCACGGGGGAAATGGGGGAATCCACAACCAGGAAGATGCGGAAACCACACGGATACAAATCCTGGAAAATTCCACGCAAAGTGCCAGAGGAAACATCCCAGGAGTATGGAAATCCCTAGGGATACTCTTGTGCCAACATCACATTCCCATTCCCAATCCTGCATCCCGCCAGTGACGTCTCATTGTCCCCCAGAGTCCCAACAGGCACCGAGGGGCCGCAAGCAGAGGCTGTGACAACACAAAAGTTCTCTTCTCCCTTTCCTTCATTCCAAGGAATCCCCATCCTGAGGGATCCCCATCCAAAGGCATCCCCATCCAAAGGGATCCCATCCAAAGGGATCCCATCCAAAGGGATCCCCATCCAAAGGGATCCCCATCCAAAGGCATCCCCATCCAAAGGGATCCCATCCAAAGGGATCCCCATCCAAAGGGATCCCCATCCAAAGGGATCCCCATCCTTTCCTGGGGTTCTCCATGCAGTGCCGAGCAACCCCTGGGTTAAGAAATGCTGAGAGTTGAGGGTGGTGGGATGAGGGATTTCCATGCAGCCATGACCAAAGCTCCATGGGGATGGTGGGGCCATGCCAGGGCCATGCCGGGGACACGCCGGGGACGCTCCGGGGACACGCGGACGACGCCTGTCTCACCTGAGCTGGTGGTAAAGGTAATGTACGAGTGCTCGCTGGGGTGGGACCATATGGGGAACACCCACAGCTTGTACATCATGCCCGGCGTCAGATCCGCCAGCTGCACCGAGGACGGGCCCTGAGCCTTAACGGGGATTGATTTCTCTGTCTTGTTACCTGGGGAACAGAAACCGCACATCAAACCCTGCCCGGACACCCCGCGGGGACACCGGGGACACTGCGGCCCAGGCGTGGGGCTGGCCCTGCGGGCTGGCCGGGAATGACGCGGCTCCTGGGACACGGAGCTGCTGGTTTGGGATCGGTACTGTCACAAGGAACTGCTGGTCTGGGGTTGGTACTGACACAAGGAGCT